CTTGGATATCAAGAAGAATTTTCTGAGAGAGAAATTAAGTACTGGAAAAGATTATGTAGAGATGTTGTGAAATCTCCATCTTTGGTAGTTTAACACAACCACTTTGCTTGGATAGCTTAAACAGGATGTTCTTGCCTTGAGCAAAAGGCTAGGCTAGATGACCTCCCAAGGTCCCTTCCAGCCATATTTTGCTATGATTCAGAATGCTTTGTTATAGACCGATTAGATCTATTACATTTACTTTGCCTAGAATATATTTGATAAGACAATAGATTTTAAACTAGTCTGGCACAATCTCTCTTTGGCAAATTTTTCTGTATTGTATTTTAACCCATTTTATATTTACCTTCATATCTTTAATCATTCTTTCCTTTAAAATGTAATTCAAAGCCTTGCCTATTATTGCTGGCAAATGAACAGGTCTACAGGAGCCTAGGTCACTTCCTTGCCTACATCACCTCCTTGGAAAGTGCTGAGATTGAACCACCAACAGCAGTGTAGTGTTGTTGGTACAATAATTCAGTGCCTATAGCATTTAATCTAATTTTAGATCACAGATACTAATTCAATAGCATTTAATCTAATTTTAGGTCACAGATATCCAGTACTTCCTTTATGTTTTATTTAAGAGAATGTATATAGGTCTTTCCCTTTGAAAGATACCTTTAATATTAGATATTTGTGCTCTACAACGATGTAATAAAATTATCATGGAAGCAAAGCCAACTTCTTAGAATATCACTTTAAAATTCTAAACAGCATGGCTAAATTCTAAATCTGGGGAATTTAAATTCAAGAACAGTCATTCCTTTTACTCAGATGGCCATAAGTTTTTCCAAACCAGTGAACACAATGAAGCTATCAGTCAGTATGCCTGTAGATAATGCTGTAAAAGTCTCCAGGAACATAAGCAGAAGGCAGACACGTTAAGAAGAAACAGAAATAAAAGTCAGTTCATTCCAAGAGAATGAGTGCACTGAAATACCTTCTAAGGCCACATTTGGAATGACCTGTTTCAGAAGGTTTTCAAGGTTATCAGTCATGGAGAGTCATCTGTCTTGGAAGATACCAAATCTTTGAACTTAAACTCTTCAGCAAAGAGTCCTCAAAAATGGTAGCATAATGTGGCAGGCAACTATAAACAAGGAGTCTCAAAATGGCAGGGGTGGAGCACAGAAGTGCTCAGGACATTGGCAACAGGAGACGGTCATCTATGCTAGATAGCCCCCAGCATTCTTTTTGACTTTGAGTATCCTTTGAACCCCCTAGGTTGTGTAATCCTTGCTCAAAAGAGACACAAATGGATTTGAGTTGGAATTTTGCCTGAGTAAAAGGTGCAAGATTTCACCTTGTTCTGTATGAAATATCTTGAGAATCAAGAAGAACATTAAGAATAAGGTTTTCAGAGCCATTCTGCATTGTGCTAACTCTGTTCCAATTGAACTGTCCACCAACTTCAAACGAGGGGTGATTATACCAGCACTAGATACTTTTCAAAATTGCACCTCTGAAAGGTTTCCTCCTGTCTGTTGCATGGCTCTAGTTTCTCTGTACATATGTAATAAATAAGAATTTTTTCTTTTTATGAAAATTCTTTACAAAGCTAGCAGTTTTTTTAATATGTAAGATATTCAGTCACACAAAACAACCAGCTCTTTCTCTATTCTATCCCAGGCCAGAATGCTAGAAAACAATACAAGGAACAGCTTTTGTTCTAATGTTCTTATCTCTTCTTCAGTGTTCACTTTGTGCCATGCATTTCTAAACAGTCAATGTATCTAATCACATTGCACCATGGGATATTGTTGTTTATTCTTTATACTGTGGTACAACCCAGGATCCCTAATCATAAACCAACACCTTTTTGTGATAAGCATTGTAAAAACACAGAACAAGAAGATAGTCCCTACCCCAAAGACCTTACGATCTAAACATTGGAGAAGATCCAACAGGCAGATGAAGAAATGCAAAAGCAGTAAGATAGCATTGGTCAGTATGATACGCATTAGTCTAAGAATATCAGCAGCCCTACTTGGGGCAAAATAACCCTGCCTGGCTGCTCCTGGATCTGCAGCCAGGGGGAGCTAGAGCCCGGGGCCAGCACCTGGAGCCCTGCTGTCCCCAGCAGTATAAAAAGCTGCCCTAGCAAGTAGATCAGGGCTACTAGCTCTCAGGAGCTTCTGGGGCCCAGCCAATTGGTACCTGGGGACATTCCCCCTTGTGCCAGCTGGACTGCTGCAGCAGCCTTGAGAGTTCCTGCACCCTCTACCTACTGCAGCAGTCTGGCAGTGGGGACTGCTGCCTGGCTGTGACCGGCTGCGCGCCTGCCAGACCTGGATGGGGACTGCACAGCCAGTAGAGGCATCTGCCCCCCTGAGGAATTTTGGTGTTCCCTATTGGAAAACTGAAAAATACCTGATAAAAAAATCCCAAAGTCACTCTGTAAAATACCCCCAAACCCATGTTCCTCCACAATAAAAACAAAAGACCGCTATATATAGAGAGAGAGAGAGAGAGTGAGAGACAGCGATCAGTTGGGCATGTTTTATTAATATATCTACAGTGTTAAAGCAATTTGGATGCCTAGCAATTTAGTGTTAGCAATGTTAAAGCAATTTGGATGGCTACAGCCCCCCACTAGGGGTAACAGCCCCCCACAAGGACTACAGCCCCGCACCAGGGGTTACAGCCCCTCCACAAGGACAAAAGCCCCCCCAACAGGGGCCAAATGGCCCCTGCAGGGGCCACCCCCACGTGCCCCACTCCAGCCCCCAATTGCTGCCCCACCTGGCCTCATCCCCTGCTGGCTCCTGCAGCCCCCCCAATGGCTACCCCCCCCCCCCCCCCCCACCA